GAAGGAATTAGGAGTTCAATTTATCTTCCAGAATAAACAGCATTAAAGGAATTAACAGACATAATGCTTTTGAAATAGATGTTGGGTACCATTTAGCCTTTTGTGAGCTCCCCTTTCCTTTTTCTCATAAAAATGTGATCCCTTTAACATTGGAACTGCTTAGGGCAACAGTTGTACATATCTTATTCTAACTTGTGTTGTAGTAATTAGTGTTTTAATATTCTTACGTATATATTGAGTAGATCATTAGCTGCTTGAAGACATTTTTATTTGTCCTGTGTCCCTCATCACACCACCTACCATAGAGTACGGCAGTCACTATCCATAAAAGTCTGGTAGGGATAAAAATAAAATAACAAGAAGTCCTTTACTTCAATCTCCTCCTCCAAATAGAATTGTGCCCGAATGATTTCCTTCAGTATTCATTGAAAAAATATTAAAAATGTGAGTCTAGAGCTCATTACAGAGAATCTTCCTCCAATTCTCTTCAGATTTGAGAATTTTCCTTGTGAAAGAGTTAAAGCTCAAAGAACAGTTGTGACAATACTGAAGCATTTGGAGAGGAGAGAGGAAGGCGGGGAACTGAAATATTTGGAAATAAATGTACACATTTGGAAGACGAGGGAAAAAAAAAAGCAAAACAAAAGGTGAAAAAAGGAGTGCCCAAAGAAATTAGGAAAATATTAAGATAATAACATATCAAGGAGGTTATGAGATAATCATAAAAGGTTGGGGTTAGCAACCTGTGACTTTTAAAGCATCTTTTCCAGAGATGGGTGAGGGCATAATGGATTTTAATTGAGATCTCCTTTAAATACATTTCTAATAAAGAATTTCACAAGTTCACACCACTTACCAAACACAAAGTATTAGATATTGTCGAACCATAGAGACAGACACCATGTTCTATTTCTTAAACATGCTACATTGTCCAGCACAATGTAGTATTAGGCATCCAACATACATACAATAAATATTGTTAAACTGGCTGGCCATAGGAGCAAGAAAAATTGTATTGTTGGAGTAGGACCCCAAGAGGATGTGATGGAGATGAGTAACTCTAGCTGCACCGCTACATTGATACTGGGAAGCTGAGAAGAGAATGAGGTCAACACATTGCAGCGATGAAAATGTTGGCTGACCCTTAGCCAGGGTCTTGAGTCAAAAAAGAAAAGGGGAAAATACCACTGAATCAGTAGAGAGGGCATTGAAAACACCAGCTAGGAAGGTCCAAGTTGAAAACACCAGCTAGGAAGGTCCAAGTTTCCAAGAATGCCAACATATGGACAAACATTCCTGGTACATCTGTACATAGAGAAATGTATGCCATCATAGCAAGAGGGAATTGGGCAAGACGTTCTGGGACCTGTTGGGTGGGAAATAGTGGCAACAGAATTAATAGAGAAATGAGAGAAAGGAGGAGAAATAGGTCAACATAAAAGCAGGAAGAAAAGGGAGCAAAGGGTTAGAGACCCAGAATGCTATTTGTGTTTTAAAATGATGTTTTGGCTTTTGCTAAAAGCAATTCTTAGAATTAAGAGCCCAATTATCAGTTACTATGACTTACTTCTTTCAAGATTAATATATAGAAATTGATTTTTTGTTACACCATGTGTGAAGTGAAAAAAAATCTAAGAATTCTATTTTTAGAAAACTGGATATGATGTTTTTTCTATTTGAGATATCACTTTATCTAAACCACTATGAAAAAAAATGGTTCAATAAATAAAGCCTAGAAAAAGGAATTAAATTTTATTTCTAAAAATATCTCAAACATGAAGGAGTCATTGTATTCCTTGTCCACCCTGAAGAAATAGGGATTTGTGGTGAATGTGATCTACATAATTAAGTCCACAATATTACCATGTTTATAATACCCTCTGATAATGTTTCAGCATAGCTACCCTTTTAAGCTACTGTTTTAATCTCTTATTTATTAAATGCCAAAATAGAAAAAAAAAAAAAGAGGCTTGTTATATTTTACAATCTAGAAATATTTTAATGACACCATGAAAACTATGCCGCACACTAGACTGGCTTGAAGTGGATGGAAAAATTGCCCAGTGGGTGGAAACTTGAATTGTCCATAAACATCAGACGGAAAGACAACTTTCCATGAGGCCATGGCCCAAATTCCACTTAAGCCAATTGACTCTGGATGGAAAAAAGCAAGCCTAGCTCATAAAAAAAAGGTTCATATCTGAGTATCATTTTACCTCCCCTCCCACAGCAGTGATATGACCTTGTGCCAGAAGGAGACAAAATCTCTTCGATTATTCATTTAGAAAAGAAGCCAGAGGAAAAAACATTCCTCACCCTTGTGAAGAAGCCCAACTCAACATCACTAGCAAAGCCATGGAACAAAGGCCATTGGAGGGCTCCCACTCAGCCTCATGCTCCAGAGAAAAGCACATCTCAAACTGGGCCGAGTTGCACTCAGGTGTGGAGGACGTTTGCACTCATCACATTGGGTGGTTTCAGTCTGGACACCTCCTTCCGGAGAGAAGTCAGGAACAACTTCCCATATCATTATGCTGCCATATTAAAAGGCATAATCGTTTAGAGAAGTGGAATTTTTATTCCAAATTTAGACTTCAGGCCTTCAATCTATTGTTAATTTATCACACCATTTTCAACGAGCCAGGTAAACTCAGTTTTGTGGGAAAGTTTTGAATAGTAATTAAAAACACCACATCACAATGGGAAGATGATCAGAATTCATGTGAGAATGTCATATAAGTGAGAAAGCAAGAATATCTTCAAAGGAAAAATAAAATATTTGAAGTTAAAATATTTGATATCTAAGATTGATTTTATTTTATAAAAATGATTCAACTATCTGGGGATCTTATTTCTCTCTGTTGTTTTCAACAACTAGGTTTTATGAAATTTTAAACCAGGCCATTGATTTGACTGAAATTTTAAAAACAATGAAAATGCAGATCTTGTTATGTGTTGCTATAAGTGAAGCCAAAATAAGGCACATGGAAAATATCAATAAATTAATAAGTTTATTATTCCAAATCTCATGATCTCATGGAAAGAGGTCTAAAAAACAGAGAATTATATATAATACATTAGACTATAAGTACAGTTAGGTATTACCTTATTACTCTAATTCTCTACAATATCTCATTTAAGTCAGATAATTAAAAAGTCATATATTTAATAGGGCTTTTATTTATCTCAAGCTCTAGCTTTGAGAACATAATGCATTTGCATCCAGAAGCAAACAGCTGGAACACAGCACCTAATGCTGTTATATGTGGCTTCAGGTGGGAGTTCCTTATAGTGACTTTTCACTAAATGCAGAAAAAGATGTCCTAAAGGGAACCAGTGAGCAGTGACAGAGAAAAGATCACCTTCTATGTATTTAAAGTACAATTAGAGAACTTAAGGCCCAAGTTTCTTAAAGCACAAAAGAATGGTATTAGAGTTGTTCTTTTTTTAAATAATACAATTTTTTAAAATCTCACCTTCTAATTTAAATGAAAGAGTACAAATATTGCCAGTCTGAAATAACTCATGTCCCAAAGGAAGCAAAGAAATTCAAATTTCCTCTGAATTTAACTGGACTATATTTTTTAAATGACTTGGCCTTTAAAGTGCATAATTTACTTAAAAGGAAACATAACGAAGATGGAAAACACAGCTTTATTTTCTGCACTGGGAGACTTCTGTTTTGTTTCATTGTCATTACCTTTTAATATTCCTACATATCAACGCATTCCCAGATAATTAAGGGGCTAACATGGGCCCTGCTGTTTCATCAATTCCACATTTGCCTACGATCATAAAATTGCTTCATTATGTTATTAGTTCAAAAGTTCTTTTTGGTAATTCCTGAATCTCCTCCCGTACCCCTCTCTCCAGCACACACACACACACACACACACACGCACATGCACACATCACCCCTTTCTCAGGCTGCTAAAGCAAAATGCCTGGTGACTCTTAACATGAGAAATGTTCAAGGACTGGAGCTTTAATGTTCTCTCCTCTTAGGACCCCTATCCCTCCTATTTTCTGAATGTGTCCCCAAACTTACAAAGCAGCTCTTAATAGACACAAGGGTGAGTTAACACTAGAGTGTATATAAATTGCATGTATGTGTTCCTGTGTGTGTGTGTTGTGTTATGTCATGGAGAAAGGGGTGTGTGTGTGTATGGAGAGGAGAGAGAAGGCTTCACTTTACATCTATTAAGTAAGAAAGGAGTTGAATATATTCCTCCCAAAAAATATTTTCTTAACTTATTAGAAACAACAACTCAGAAACTCTAAAAATCTAGTAAATTAGTAACAAATATATCCTAAATTTATGTGGGTCAAATTAAAAGTTTAATGGGTCTATGTACAGGGCAGTTCTTTAAATTTGCATTCAAACGAGAGACGGGACTCCAGATGTGTCTTCTAAACTTCGGTTCTAACCATTTCTGGAACCATTCCTGGGCTGTCAGGTGGGAAGACGGGTGCCACTAGTGCTGTGAGAGAGGTTCCATGTCAGCGAGCACTGGGAGGAACAAACCCGCAGCGCTTACCTAGAAATGCCAGCTAAGAGTCATGGGCTGGCGGGCCCTGGGGCAATCAGAGAATCAGAGAGAGGTTGGGAAAATGAGAGCTGCTTGTTCAGGCTGCCATACTTTCTCTCCAACTACTCAGCCAGAGACACACCTACTAAAGCTCCAGGTTTTACGAAAAGCAAAGGTGCACTCTCCAGCCCACCGCTGGAACACGGTCCAAATGCACGCTTAACATCACAAAAACTTCTTTCCTTTCACTTACCTAAGCACACCCTAACTAACCTAACCTGAAACCCCCAAAATACGCCTCCCTTGGCCTCTGGAGCAAGTCAGTTTTGAAAGCAGTCCTATCAGCAAAGACACCGGGCAGCCTCTCTCACTCCTACCACCATCATGTGTTGGTACCCGGAAAAGTGGCACAAGGTGAAGGCAAACTCGATCGAAGAGCCCTCCGAGAAATCGCACATTCCTCTCACTTACTTTGAGTTGCAAATGTCCCCTCTGGCGCTCAGTCTGCCTTTGTTGCAAGGGGCGAGGTTGCTACGGCTGAGTCCAGGTACCCGGCTCGCTGCAGCTCCTGCTTGGTCTGCTGCTGCTCTCCCCGCCTTCTGGACGGATCACTGGTCTCTTTCTTCCCCTCTCTCCACTTTGGATTTTCCTCTGCTCTGGGGCTCTCTTGGCGGGATTTTTGGACTGGAAGGCGGGGAACCTGATCCTGCCTTTGACTCAATTACGCCCTGACAGGGAGGGAACGGAAGGGAAATGGAGAATGGGAGGGATGAGAGGAGCGGGCCAGGAGGACGCAGGCTGGGCGAGGGAGGGAGAGCGTTTTGCACTCGAGAGCTGATTGGGAAGCTTATTAAAAGCAGAATACTCCAGGGGCAGTCTCTCCCCGCGGAGCAAGAAAGAAAACGGATTTGAACCAAGAGGCCATGAGATGGTACCTTGTTTTGTTTCTAGCAGAGACCAAACACAACATTTCTTTTCCAAACTCCACCCATGATCTATTCTTCAGATGAGTGCAAAGCCACTTTGCCAAATAGAATATTTTAAATGGACAATTGATGGCATTTTAGGTTACAGTTTTGGCCCCCCACAATCCTTTAATGATATTCAGGATGAAAAAGCACTCTCTTCGAACCAGCCTCTTCTTCCACCCACGAAAGCCCTCCCTATACACAGAGGCAGTTACCCAGCTGTCAGTCACATCTCACCTGCAAAGCACAAAATGTACAAAGTACTTTTTCTCAATTGTCACAGAGTGACAGACGTCTGAAAGTTCCCAATTAAGTGCTACTTACCTTTAGGGAGAGCTCTTTCCTTTTTTGGTTTCCTTGGCACGTTTAGCAACCTATTCAGTAACATGCCTTTGACACCCAAGAATTTAGAGGATTCGTCAATGTAGCTCAAACTCTGAGGTTTGTAAAACTTGGAGGCTGGACTTTGCATCTCTCTGGAATTTTCATTTCATTCAATTGAGGAAAGATGCTAAGGCAATGCATAGGTAAATATTTATGATATAGATGAGATAAAAGTATTGTGTAAAAGGATTAAGACGTATTACACAAATTCACCCAAACATTTTAAAAATGTAAATTTTGAGATTTTCTGCCACTTATCAGCTTTTCCTGCTCCTTGGTTAGTTCCTTTTACCTACTTTTACTGCTCAGCTTATCATTTGATGGCGTCCATCCCAAATTGCTTGTAAAAGAGACTCGCATTTTTCATAGTTCTGAGGTTACATCCGTTCATTTCAATTTGACAAATATTTATTAAGCAACGTATTTACTTAGAACTATCCTTAAACCCCCAAACTAGAAGCATTGTCTTGTGGCAAGTAGTTTTTAGGGACTTGGGGCTCTTATATTGACTGCTACCTGTAGAAATGTCCCTTGGAGAAGTTAGCTGGAACCAAAGAGGTGGCTCTACAAACTCAATCAAGCAGTCAGTCAAGCTTTTCAAAAGGAACAGCATCAGAGATGCACTTACACACATACAGTTTATCCCCCTTCCCAAACCCTTCATACACATACCACATACAATTCTCAAATGAAATAACTAAATAAGGAAGCTGTGTTCCTTTCTTCTATACACAGGCTTCAGGTTACCTATTTTCCTTTTGTGATTCCACTTCCGTGTGAAGAAAGCATTGTTTGTTTTAATCGGATTTCACCTGTATAAAGTGTGGCAGAATGCACATTGTCATTTTTATAAGTATTTTGCCCAGTCCCTTTACAGAAAAAGATGTCCCAGCATTCTATTAACACTCCACAGGGGCAAAGTTTCTAAGGCATTGAACAAAGAGCTATCCATTTTCTTTCTGTTCTTCAGCTTTATTTTAACATATGTAACATATGTACATACAAATGTATATACAATATATATATATACACAAATGTAACATACAGCTAGCTACCAGTTAGGTGAACAATGCTGGCTTGATTGAGGTGCTCTCTATAGGGTTGATAAAGTAAGCAGGAGAGTCCTATGATTTCTACTCAATTACATATGTTATATCAAAAATATCACCCTTTATTCAGATAGGTGTATACTAAAATTGCATACATCAGTGATTATCAATTGGGAGCAATTTTGCCCTCCAGGAAAAGTGAATAATGTCTGGAGATAGTCTTGGTTGTCGCAAATTGGGGGAAGAGGTTGCTCTGGCATCTAGTGGGTAGAAGCTGGGGATGCTGTTAAACATCATACAATGCATAGTTAAACATCATACAATGCCTACTCCATAGGCAAAGCTGCCCCAGTGGCTGCTGGCTATCCACCTTTATGGTCATTTCCTGATTGTATGCTAAACAAGGGATAGTTTATTCATGAATTTTCCTGGAAAGAGGTGGGCAGCTCCCAGAACTGAGGGTTCCTCCCCTTTTTAGACCATATATGGTAACTTCCTGACATTGCCATGGCATTTGTAAACTGTCCTGGTGCTGGTGGGAGTGACTTTTGGCATGCTAATGTGTTATAATTAGCATATAATGAGCAGTGAGGACAACCAGAGATCACTCTCCTGGCCATCTTTGTTTTGGTGGGCTTTGGCTGCCTTCTTTACAACAAGCTGTTTTATCAGCAAGTTCCTTATGACCTGTATCTTGTGCCAACCTCCTATCTCATCCTGTGACTTAGAATGCCTAACCTCCTGGCAATGAAGCCCAGTAGGTATCAGCCTTATTTTAACCAGCTCCTATTCAAGATGGAGTTGCTCTGGTTCAACCGCCTCTGACACCTCCACAACAAAGAATTATTTGGCCCAAAATGTTAACAGGGTTGAAGTTAAGAAAACCTAATGTTATTCGCCACGGTATTTTAAAAATGCAAAGACAGATTAAAGAGAGTTTGTGTTTTTTTAATAAATAGAAATTTATGAGATTGGGATTAGTCATAATTTAATTCAATCCAGCATTTTCATGAAAGTTGAAGTAGAATATGTTTTTTTAATACACAGTGAAATACTCAATTTCAAATCCAAATTTCATTCTAGGGCATAGTCTAGGGTCTATTGATTCCAGAGTCCAAGTTATTTCATTCATTAGGCTAATATCCTTTAAGCACTTAAGTCTTTAGCTTAATAGAACCATGAAGAAAAACTGTTGACAATCCCTACTCTCAGATAGCCTATGTTGTTGTTCTTTCTTTTTTTTTTTTTTTTTTTTTTTCAGATGGAGTTTCACTCTTGTTGCCCAGGCTGGAGGGCAATGGCGTGATCTTGGCTCACCCAGGTTCAAGCAATTCTCTTGCTACAGGCTCCCGAGTAGCTGGGATTACAGGCATGTGCCACCACGCTTGGCTAATTTTGTATTTTTAGTAGAGATGGGGTTTCTCCATGTTGGTCAGGCTGGTCTCAAACTCCTGACCTCAGGTGATCCACCCACCTTGGCCTCACAAAATGCTGGGATTATAGGCGTGCACCACCGCATCCAGCCCTATGTTTCTATTCTTAATGAGTCAATTAAAATTTTTTAATAGATGTGATAAGTAACATGAAAAAATAAGGCAATGATGGAAGATAAAGTGTCAATTTGGGGGAGAAAATCTCATTGGGATGATATTTGACAGAAGACTTAGAAGAATTGAGGATGCTGGCCAAGTAAATATTTGGGGGAAGAGCTTGTAGGCAAAGGCATCAACAAAGGCAAAGACTCTGATGTCTGACCTTGCCCCAAGTTTTTTGGGGAAGAAAAGGAGGCCACCGTGGCAGGAACTCAGTGAGAGGAGGCAGGCATTAAGGAAAGTAATGGGCCAGATCACCTAAGACCTTTGTCCACTGTAAGGAATTTCATTTTTGCTCTGAATGAGGTGGGAAGCCATGAAGAGTGACTAAACCTGACTCTGGTTTAAAACGTCCTCTCTGCTGTGTTGAATAGAGCACAGGAGGATGAGGCTGGAAGCAGACAGCCCAGTAGGAGGCTACTGCACTAACCCACTCCTCAAAAGTCTTCCCCTTGTTCCTGTTTCTTGTGCAAAATAATCAACTCCAAACTTGCTCTTTAGTACTTTCTCTGCCTACACAAGCTCCTGTCAGCAGTATCTTCGGCTTGCTAATGTCAGTTCTCAGCCTCTCCAGGTGTAATGAACATGCCCCTTGCATGAGTGTTACCAGGCCAAAATATAACTAATGCAAGGAGATTTGAAATCACAGAAATTATAATATGTCCCAAGGGTATTTTGAAAATGAGGCTGCTGATTTTGCAGTGGCAAATGCAAGGAGCAGTGTGATCAACATGAAGTTAAAAAAGGTGAAGGAACCTGATGAAAAATTTGCCAGCTTGTCTCTTTGATTGCCTACTTGACAAGATGTTTAGAATTCTTGATTGCCACTCCAGGTTCTTCAGTATCCCTAGAATGTAAAAGGACAATTCATCAAACTTTCACAGCATTCTAGAAGCCCCATTAATACATCTCTCTCCCTCTCTCTGAAATATTTGAAAGGTAATAAAAACAAATCTTTTACTTTGTTTTTTATTGATGTGGCAAGATTACAAAATTTACTTCTATATTAGATACATTTTTATAATAATTATGATTTTTCATTAAAAAACATAAAGCAAACAACAATGGCTTAGAAATTCTAGGAATTTATCTCACAAACAACACAAGTGGATAGTCAATGCTTCAAAGTCTTCAAGAACTGAAGTCTTTCTATCTTTTGACTTGGCATTTTCAAATTTGCAGCCCAATGCTCTTCAATATGATTTTAAGGAGCTCCAATCATATTTGGCTTAAAAAGTTTAAAATAGACCCAAATTCTAGTGCAGAGTAGGTCAGCTTCTCTAGTCACATAGCCACACAGGCTATGTCAGCACAAGGAAGAGGCAAACAGAATTTGGGAAGCAAACAAAGCTTGCTACAATTTCTCCCTAAAAAGTTATAAATTTGGACTTTATCAGTGTCTTATGAATCTAAGCAGCTTGACTTAAGACCCTCAATCTTGTCTTTTTTGCCAAGAACTGCTAAAATCAAGGTTCTGAAAGAGGAGGTCTTGGACAATGACCTCACTCAGACTTACACAGAAAACTAGACCTGAAATGTCAAAAGAAGTTTGATCATACATTACAAAAAAACCAAATATACAGAGCAAAATATAAAATGAACATGGATGCAAAAGTCTTTAACGAATATCATCATATCAATGTGATTAATGTATAAAAAGTGTAATACTATGCATCATATTGGATATTTATTTCAGGAGTGCAAGTTTGGTTTTACATGTAAAAAGTAAAATTCATATTTAAAGATTAAGCAGGGGGAAAAGGGAATACATTAATATATATAGGAAAAGCATCTGACAAAATTCAACATCCATTCATAATTTAAAATTCATTAACTTAAGAATATGAATGGCTACTCTTATTCTGATAAGAGATGTCCACAGAAAGCTAAAGGATACTTAATAGGGAAAGTAAATGCTTTCCACCTAAAATCAAGAACAAGGCAAGAATTGCCACTCTTACCATTTTTATTCTATATTAAATGAGAAATATTAGCCAATAAAATAAGTCCAGAAAAAGAAAAAAA